GGTCATGAACAGAAGGATGACGCAAATACATAGCAACTTGCATACGAACGTGGCTTGGATTTTATATGTTGCTCCTACTCGCGTTATAAGTTGTTGCGCGGGTTGCTTGGACATTTATTCGACAACAAGTGCGCTTTCCATCCTCGTTTGCGCGGTCCAATGTCGTCATGGCATAGCGGGCATCTACACTCATCCAACCACCACATATTAAAAATAACCATATTCTATTTCATCCAAACATCAACGCTCCTTTTGCACTATATATATATATAACAATCAAACACCATGGTAATATTCATATATTCCTTCACACAATCTCCGTACCGGTTGCCTTGGGCCGGGGAGGGCATGGGGTCGCAGTCGTTCATATTAGTGTGTTTGTCGTAAAATTTCGCCGTGATCGCTTCGCCACACCGACGGCATTCCTTGTGGTTGTGCTATACAACCCCAACAAAACCACCCGCTTGAACCAAACACATTCCAACGTGTTGATTTCAAAGTACGTACCTTTTGCTCACACTCGACGAGTAAATGTTCGTTGAGGGTACTGATTTCAATCACTTGGCTGCACATTTGGCACTGCGTGAGCATGGGGCATTCCGCCCAGAAGTGCTGGTCCAGCCGGTCGCTGTCGAACGTGTCATCTTGGCGGTCGCAGAATGGACACGTAAACTCGGCCACGGACGCGTCCGAGTCGTCCGAGTCGTCATTGGCATGCTGGTGGACATGGCGCGGTTGTTGTCGGGGGGGTGGGTTGGTTTTTTTGTCCTTTTTGACGGACGGAGGCTTCACCTCGGGGGTTTCAAACGCCGCTTGGTACTCTTCCAGTTGTTTGGGCCGCAATGTTTTCAAAAACGGATCGATCTCGGGACCCACAATCTGCATGGAATTGTGATATATAATTAGAATCATAATAATAATTAAATGTGAAATGGTTTAGAACCTCATACAGACTCAACAGTAAATCGACGGCATGGACTAACTGTGTGGTATTTGTATTCAAGCACGTATGGATTTCGCCCAAACTTGCCAATGTTGGGGGATTGTTGAAATCACCACGAAATTCGAGAAAAGAAGTATGATTGGATAAAAAGAATGATCGTTGCAATATGATTGGCTAAAACGAATGGATATTCACAAAGATATCTCTTACACTTAGATATATATCACATATAATATATTTCACAGGTCCGGCGATTGTTGGGCTGTCGTTCATTTCAACCAACTGTCGGGGGAAATTATGAGTAGAAAACACACAATATCGGAGTGGACAGAACAGATCAAACTACTTCACATACATCGGCACATGAACAAAATTTGTACGAAATAAATATCAAAATCGCACGGCGTACTTGATACATGGACACTGAAATGGCTTTGGCCAAGTCGCGAATGTCTTTGCTTTGATGGGCAAACGCCGCGTTTTCTTCGAGAAACCCCATCACGGTCTATGTACGTTGTTCATCAAATCATAATATTACTGTATAGAACATTCAAAAAATATATAGTACCTCGAGCGTAAAATCGGGACCGAGCCCGAACTGCGTCAGCAAGGCTTTTACAACGCCCAACCGTCCTTGGAGTGACTTGAGGGGTAGCGCCTTCTTGGACGCCCGTCGAAACACATGCGACGCGACGACTGGGGCTCCCACCAAGTCAGACCCAGCCAACTAGTACGAGACAAACCAAACATATTTGTACTTGTATTGTCAAGTCGATGTATATTCGAAATTGGAGTGGGGTGGGTGTTCAATCGAATGAGCAGAATAAACAAATCGGCAGACAATCGAAAATCGACCAATCAAAAACCACAACACGAATCAAGTGGGTAATCAAATCCCCAAATCAACATCGAATTAGTGTGAGTGACTTCAATTAGTGTGAAACTGCACGATTTTTTTTACACACAAAAGTCAATACCAAAAATCGATAGATTTGTGGCGAATCAGCACACAAAAGGCAACCAAATTTTGGGTAAAAGGATAACATTATAGTTGGTTTTGGAGAGGATTGATTGGTGGGAAGCAAATGGTGCTATGCAATGTATGTCTTTGTTACCTGGAGCAACACCGACGTAACTTCATCTCGGATTTTCACGAGCGACTCGCCCAGCTTGTTGACGAGTTGGATCAGCGGATTGTTCAACTACCATCGAAAAAAAGTTATTGGTCCGCACGCATATTTTTGGTAGGGGAGGGCTCAATCGAAATGCACCGCCTCCAATCGGCTGACTAAATATATCGATCGACCAAGAATCAAAACCCACAACAAAGAATGATATATGTATGACCAAACCAAAATAATCTTTCTAACCATTCAACAGAATGATCCAATTAGTGACTTTTTATAACGTGACACTGGAGGAGTTGTTTACGTACAAAATACAATACAAAAATCGATCCATGGAGTTGGTGAATCAGCAATAAAACATTTTTGGCGGAAAGGACAATGTTAGTTATTCTATCGTGTTATCATTTGAGAGAGAGTGATATCAACTCTCACGGATAATCTTTGGGAATCGTACAAACCGATACGTTGAATTTAAAATATATGACGACGAATATCAATTATTTTTAAATCATCGCTTGTGACGATACACACAATATGAAAGAAACATGGGATACAGGCTTGCACCTGCCTCCCACACCCCCAAATACCACATCATGTATAACTAGTCCAAAATACCCAACCAGAACCCTTCACTTTTTTCATTCTGAACTACTGTATATATATATATATATATCTACCACTTGGACGACAGCGTCTCGGTCCAACGTCGCATGGGTTTCTGCAAACTGTAGCATGCCGTGGCAAAGCGCCACCGCCGACAACGCCACTTGCGCGATGCGGTCGCTCACGCCGCTCTGAACCATCGTGGACGCCACCGAGAGCACGACGAGGGGGTCGTGGGGGTCGGTGAACGCGGGATCAGTCAGGTCCAGCGCCACTTTTCGGATCGCAGCGTCGCGGTGGTTCCACACGTTGCTGTAGAAACACGTGGTCAAGTACTCGCCAATCAAAGACACCATCTCGGCGCTTTCGGTGAGCAACGAGTCCGGCAAGGCTTCGGGGTCGGCCAGGTCGGCGCAGTCTGGCAGCCCTACATGAGACCATCGTATTGTCAAGTCGATGATTCGAACGAGGAACGTTGGGGATGAGAAAGCAGTTGCAGACCATCGCTATCCCACCAAACCAAAAATGAAAGAGCAACTTTTGATGACGACACTGTGCACCAATCAACACAACATAGTCACACAAAATACACATGTGCCCACCATATACCATAGTTTCCTTGGATGCATGTATCACTCGAAATTGCAATTGCAAATACATATATATATATACTATATTTTGGATTCGGTACAAATTTCGAGCCGAATTCCGCCGCCGACTCGAATCACGAATCGAATACGCTAGTGGGTAATTCCACAGAGATTTTGATTGGCTGTTTAGGACACGTATATTCAGCCAATCAGAATTTCTAGCGTGATTCAATAGAAATAACCACGCGAATGTCGTTAGTTTATTGTAGCGAATTCACAATATATTTATATGTTTCTATATCGATGCCGAATTTAAACACAGGAAACGCAAACTGCATGTATGTAAACATATCGACACTCATCGTATCCAGCAACCCCGTGTAACTTAATAGGGAGTAGTTGGACAATAAGACAGAACAATCCCAATGCAAAAGTACCTTGGAAGTGCGGGTTGCCGCCGCCGCCGCTAGTGGCAGCGTTTTCTACGGGGGCTTTGGGTTTGGTTCGAAGAGGCGCGTCGTTCAGGTCGTCGTCGGGGGGGGGGGAGAAGGCGGCGCTACTTCGCGGCTGCTGTTTGAGCGGCGGCGGGGGTCTGGACGCTGCTGCCAACGGTCGTTCAGTTTCGTCCTCATACGATTGTTGGAGTTGCTCGGCGGGTTGCTGCGTGCGTTGCTTGGATACGGACGGAATCGCAGGCGGCGGAGTCGAATTGTACGTCGAGGTTGTCATTTGAGGTGGCGGCGGGTGGCTGCTGCTTCGATTGTTGGCAGGAAATCCACCGTCATTTCCATAGCTTTCAGATCGCCCTGTCGGCGGCGTCGTGGACATGCCGATGGACGCCTCCAGCTCCATGATCTCGTCCTTGATGCGTTTCGCAGCGTCGTAGTCTTCGTTGGCGACTGCCTCTCGCTTGGCTCCTTCCAGTCGGGCCAGTTGCAACCCAATGTTCATCAGTTGCTGTTCCAACACTTTCAATCGTTTCGCCTGATATCGGCACAACATTGTCAATATGTTTTATATTTCAAAGTAGGACGAATAATATATATATATATATATATATATATATGGCAAACCTGGTCGTAGTCCTCCATGGCGACTGCTTTTTCCTTGGCCACGTGAATTTCGCGGATTTTCGCCGCGGTTTTCGCGTCAAATCGAAGGTCTGCCGTGTCGTCGGCAGCGGGGGAAGGCGGCTTGAGCGGCAACAACGACGCCTTTGTAGGTGTGATGCTAGCTGACGCACGCATCGGTTTACTAGGCGTCGACGCTCCGAGCTCCATTTCGTCGGTGCTCGATGATGGACCAGTCTCTTCTTCGACCTCGCCGTTGAGGTTGATGGCAACGATACCCACTTGACTGTACACATTCTTGTCGTTGATATAGCATTGATGCAGCTTGAACTTGACAAATCGTGCAGTCGAGTTGATATGGACGGTCTTGAGTTCGCGCGCAGTGTATTGACTCTCCTTGTTCGACTTCAAGCTCAAGAACCCGAGACGGTTGTATGTGGCATTGTCCAAGGACAAGTACAGTTCGACCTTGGTCGCAATGTGGCTTTGGTGGGACAACACTTGGATCTGCGTCAGCCGACATGCCCCTTCCAGCTCCAGCACCAGTTCTTGCGGGTACTCGCAGTTCCTTCCATCGTCGTGAGATCCTACATCCTCTGCATGGGTACGTACCTTGGTGTCATGTACCCTGTCCCTGTGCTGTCATGCTCGTTCAGAAGTGCGGCTGGACCCGCGGGGTCTTCACCGGTACATGCAACGACTTGGAACCTCAGTTTCCGCATCCTCACCAAATCCTTCCACGTCTGATTTTGAGCGGCGCGACCTTCGATTATCCGGATGGGGTGTCATCCGAATATCCGGATACGGGAATAAACGCGCGAAGATATCGGCAGTTTACCAGTTGACATCTTCCAAAGTTATTTGGCACTTTTTTTGGTCATCCTTGGTTTAATGCTGCATATATGACACTGTGAATGCGTGAACTGTTCGATCAATATGTTATTATGTACTATGTACTTAACAACTTCGGAAATCACTGTGTCATTTACTCACTCCTTCAACGATTATTTATGTATTACAATGCATAAATCACGATAGTAACATGTCATCTGAGAACGAAGTCTCAAAAACGGATGGCCCTCTAAGTACTTAAATGTATACCCTACCTCAACACACACAATACGTCGCGAAATAAGCAAAAGCAATCAGTCATGTGGCGCGAAACCACACCACAGAGGCCAATATTGACACACATCATGCCCAAATTTTAGCTCTCTCGATCAAAGTGCCATTGGCCACACCGTTGACTACACGCGAGACCAAGCGCTTTTCCCACATCCCGCGCGACAATGATCAGAACCACCACGACTCTCCCATCCTTGATGCGCCCTAGGCCCACGTGTAGTAAGTACTTACACAAACAATGTCACCAACTTTTCTCAGACCGAGTTCAACCTGCTTTAGGCTGATATCCAAGCGTACGTCCACCAGCACTAGAATGTTGGATCCGGACGCAAGTGCGAAGTGTCGGGACGTGACATGCTTTTTATGGCGTTGACGTCCATGAAGAATTGCGGTTCGTGGCATTATGTCGTTGCCACAGTGTTCAAGGAGCAGGCCCCCATATTTTCGAAACGGGTGATGACTACATTTCTTAACATCCATCCACCCGTGTTTCAAGACGAAGTTATATCGACAACGTGGTGCGAAATGGACAATGCAACAGTTGGAGTGGAAAAGATCATTTTCGAGCTAATGATGGATTAATCCGAGCGAGGCCTCCGAATGGAGCAATTTCGAGTTAACACAAAATTGAGCGAGCCCACAGAATGGAACAATTTCGTGTTAACTCGAAATTGTGCTTCATTCTGAGGCCTCGTTCGGAATAATCCATCGTTAGCTCGAAAATTATCTTTTAGTTGGACCACTGAGGCACTTTCGTGGTACTGAGTGTTTTGGATGTTCAGCTAAATCCATCTACATTTCAAAGATTTTATATACTATAGCGCTATGCTGATAGTGCGGTCTAACAAGATCCATTCAAATCAGATCTGATGGGCTACTACTATGAGCGGCGATATGATCGCAAATTTTGAATTCCGTGAAGATTTGAATATTCATGAATCTTCATGAACGTTTGCTAGTATGTTGCTACTGTATGGTGCACGTCATCTAAAACCTTCCACTGGCCAAATCGAAGAGTCGAGCGGCAACCCCTATGGCCAAATATCCATGCGCCCATGTAAAATACCGCTAGGTTAAATATCTATTTCTGGACCAAATCATCACCAAATTTGAATCTGAGACGCAGAATTTCTTCACCACATTGAGATCTGTCGATTCTTCGTCTCAATTTGCTGAAATTTTGAATAATGAATATGAAATAGAAGTCAGAAAATTTTGTGAAAAGTTGGTGATGACGTACACTATAGTATATATTAATACTCTTAATAGTAGTTGATACTACTGTAGATATTTTTTATCCGTATACTTCGGATAACCGATTGGCGGCGACAAATACTAATTCCTCATCCGACATGGCAACTACAGTACCAAGCACAGCACAAGGGTTTCTTCACACGAATGGATTTATTCGTAGAATGTCATTTGAATACCATTTTCCCCTCATCTCCCAGGTGGCACTGGCATTCCGAACGATGTTGCCATTTCGATTTGTTCTATAGAAAGCAGATTGACGTGTCTGGCAAAAAGCACCAATATTTTCACACAAAATGGAGTTTTCATCGTTATTCAATACTTCGAAGTAGTAATTACTGATTGAGATATTCGTCCCCACGAAATTCCATTTTATCCGCCAACTGTTACCAGTCGCTTATGGCAGTTTCATGCGTATTATCAAATATATAAGGAGCCAATCCTTCGAACAATCATGACCTCTCATTTTCATTGCACGATTTTGGGAATGGTTAATTATTTCTAGGTTGTTTCAACCCAGCATTTAATACCCTCTAATTTTATTGCCTCGTGAGTCCTTGATGCGAATATTATTTAGTAAACGCCTTGTTATTGGCTAGAATAGTATCATATTTCGAAGTAATGTGGCCAATGGAATGACAGAATTCGTCAAGCACAAGAACAGTTTGTTTGCGTGGGTGTACTGGACGACATGGACGGACATGATGCAGCAGCCCCAACGACTCGAAAGACACGGCAAGGAACCAAACTGCAAGGAACTTCATCAGCACCAGCATCATTCTCGTCCACTGCCAGTTTGCTTCAATTTGTCCGTGACGAACAACAAGTCCGGCTCGTTCACTCTCGCCAGCTTGTCCACGATGCCGCCGTTCGTGCCGTGTACCGCCGCGTTCGGTCCGACTTGATTTCGTTGTCGTCGACAACACCGCCGCCGCCTTCATCCATCCGACCACCCCCTTTGTCTGCGTCCCCTGCCCCTCCAACCTGGTGGCCCGTGGCAGCATTGACTCCGTTTGATACGTTTGAGCTTCAGCGCGACGTGCTGTGGTGCTGGGACTGTTTGTATCAATTCGCCGACGTGTTGCGCTTTCGGTCGGTCGTGCCGTTGTCTGTGTTTTGCCATGCGATGACGTTGAGTGACCAATCGGCCCCCCAAGGGGACTCTGTCGCAGACGAGACAAGCCATGGCCGCCTCCTCGCGACCCTGCACATGTTGCTGCTGGACGTGCTACTCGACGAATTCACGCCGTACTTGCAGCTGACTGTGGCCGAGTACAAAGCGGCGCGTCCTTTGAACTTGGTAACGTGGCCTGAAGTCGCGCGGCAGATGTTTATGATCGCATGGGATGTGGACAAGGGCGACGTCGTCGATGGGCACGCGATCAAGCTGCTCAAGGGCGTGAAAACGTCGGTCGAGTCCATGGTTGGCCCTTGGCGGGATACATTGACGATGAAAGGCGAGTCAATTTTGTCCAATTCAAATGAAAAAACTCCCGGCAAACCAAGTGAGCAGTTGCCACCGACTCAAGAACTGCATGGCGTGGGGGTGATTATATCAGACCAAGTCGACAGCAGCAGTTGGCAGCGCCTCGGCCTTGTCTTGGGCATGACAAAGGAAGATCGATACACGGTGCTAGATGTTCATAAAGATGCCCATCCTGCGATCAAAACCTACGTGGCAGCCGGAGACGTCCTCCGATGTGTGAATGGCGTCGATGTATGTGGAAAAAGATACACATATACAGGGAAAATCCCTGTGGAAACAACGAAATATGTATATGATATATATATATACGTGATAGGTCGGACGTCTCGACCATGAAGCATTCCTCGCATTGGAACCACTGGCGAGTCCAGTAGGACTTATATTTAGCCGAGGACATGGCGATTTCGTAGCCAGCCATGTGAAACCCAAACCTCCCGCGTTGCTGCCGCCATTGGCGCGATGTGCCAACGTGCTGAAAATCCTGCGAGGTAGATATATATATATACCTTGTTACTGGTCATGTATGATTTGTGTGTCCTGCTTTATCATTTGGTTGACTTTTGTGCATATTCGCCAAATCTATCGACTGATTCTTTGACCTGTATCACACTAATTCCAGTCACACACTAATTTGGTGTTGACTGGGTTCAAGAGTGGATTGGATTGGCCACTTGATTCGTGATCTGGGTTTTGATTGGTCGATCGATTGTCTGCCTTTGATTTGATGCTAATCATTCGATTGAGACCCCCACTCCTGATTTGTTTTTATAGTATACCTGATATATTTGGATGTATATATATTTGTCTCTGTAAGATGATGTTTGTGGTTTGGTTGTGATGTAGATCGAATCAAGTCATCACACGAATTGAAATTACACTTGAATATGACGTTCATGAGGATGGTTTCGTGCAATCTGATTGGCTCAATTCTCTTGCCGAGTATTCTTCTTCTGTCCATTTGTGTGGTTGTTCATGTCGATACATATTCATTCATTCTACCCATGCCGCTCCAATTTAGAAAATGCACACATAAAAACTACCATCTCCCCAAATATATATATTGTCCATTTACTTAAAATCTGGACATTTGTGCGCTGATTCGCAAAATCTATCGATCGCACGAATTCAATGTTGAATTGGTATAATTTGATTGGCTACTTGATTCATGTTGTGGGTTTTGATTGGTCGAATATCATCGATATGGTATCTGTCGATTTGGTGATTCTGCTTGCTCCTTTGATGGAGCCTCCCGCACTCATTTCAAATCGACTTGACAATATATATATTATCTCTAGGGAAAGACGCAGCCGTGCCGTTCAATTTCCCCGTCGACGCCGACATGTACCCCGACTATTACACGCTGATTCCAGAACCGATGGACTTGAGCACAGTTGAAGACAAGTTACTTGGAGACGAGTACGACGCCGTCGATGGGTTCGTGGACGATGTGCACTTGATTTGGAAAAACTGCTTTGCCTACAACGGCCACGCGGCGCCAATCGCGGCAATGGCGCGCAAGTTGTCGGCTACATTTGATCGACTCGTGCGCGAGTACATTCGAGACGACGCATCGCCCAAGCACCAATCTGTGACACTGTTTGCGAACGAGGACGCGTGTCGCATATGCCACCACGCCCAGCTGTGCACGGACCGCCTTTTGTTATGTGATCGATGTGATGGCACGTTCCATACACTGTGCTTGCGGCCGCCGCTGTCGGATATTCCCGTCGGAGAATGGTACTGTCCAACTTGTAAGCCGAAAGTGGCCGTGGAAAGAACCAATGGACGGTGGCATCATCTCGATGGAGAAGAGATGATTGGCCAAGAAGAAGATGAAGATGAAGACGAAGACGACAGCAAAGGCATCCCGTACCTTATTCGGCTATTGTCGAAAGAAAGTTATATGGAACTGGTCCGTTGCCTGATTGATATATATATATATACCGTGTTATAGAAATGTATTAATATTTATATATACCGTGTTATAGAAATGAATTATTATTTATATATACCGTGTTATAGAAACGTATCATTATATATATATACCGTGTTATAGAATTGTATTATATATATATATTTATATACCGTGTTATAGAAATGTATTATTATATGGACTGCAGTTTGCTGTTTTTGTTTTAATCGGGTCTGACGTTGGAGTACCCAAAAGGTTGGACTTTTGAGCTGCCGACGGACTTTGGTGTCAATGCTAACGTTCGATTGACTTTTGTACGACGGTGTGAATTTGTATGTCAAGAAAAGTACTGTGGGGAAGCCAATCTCACACTAATTCAAGTCATACAGTAATTCGACGTTGACGATTTACTTTAATCTGATTGGCTCCATTCGTTTCTGCCGATGCTGGTGCACATTAATGTATATTTGTATCCAACTGAAGTTTGGATATTTGCCAGCTGATGTTTGAGAATCGCCTTGAGTTGAGATTTGAAGCTTATTCAAGTTATGGCATATTTCCTCTGTTCCAGGTTACTGGTGCCATTTCGAATTTTAGTTTGTTCCAAGTTAGTGGTGACATTTGTTTTTGATTGGCTAATTCGATAGTTTTTGTTCATTTACCGACTTTTCATTGGTGAGAAAGCTTCAAAAACACTCAATTTCGGCAAAATTGTATTTCAATTTCCAATCAATGAAGATATCACATGCCAAATTTGAGTAAGAATTGGCTTTTGGGGGACAGTTCAAAGTCAAATGGCACCAGTAACCTGGAACAGAGGAAGTACATATTTGAAGATGCACATTTGGACTGGGCCATACTATACTACTCGATGATTGGTTGAAATGTTCCTGTTCGTGCACTTTGATTGGCTAGGACATGCTCAAATACATTTGTGCTATACAATACCTGTGATAGCCACTATTTGTTGACTGACATTCGCATGTAAAGTGTGCCCGTTTCTATTGGCTCTTCGATTAGTTTAGGAAGTACAATGCATGATTGATATGTTTGTGTGTAGGCGGTGGCAGAGCGGGTGGCCGTGTTCAAAGGACTGTGTGAACTGGTGCAAAAATGCTCCAGCGTACAACGGTATATATACTCCAAAGTCCTTATACATCTATATATATATATAAATTTATCTATATAAATAAATATATATAAATGTATCTATCTATATAACATAAACCATTGCAGGGTGGTGCATTTGTTGGAAGATTTGGCCGAAGACGAGCGCGCCGAGTTGGGATGTTCGTATGCCGAGGTCGTTCGCGAGTGGGAACGTTTTGGGTACACTGACGACTCGAACGAAACGGCGGCAGATGTCACTAAACCGAGGGACTCGATCACACTCGACGGCGTCGCCCGCCCGCTCACCGACGCCCTCTTGGTACATTTGAAAGAAAAGTGCTTGGCCGAACTCGAAGATCGCGCGCCTCCGCCTCCATTCTTCTTGGACGATAGCCCGCTTGGACAAGAGCAGACAAAGTTGCTGCCTTCTGTACCCGAAATACCGTTAGAACTTCCAGACAACAGCCCTATTACGATGGGCAGTAGTGGTGGACAACAAGGCGACGACGTTATAGCTGAAAAAACGCAAGCCACAGCCACCACTCCTCGTTTTCAAGACGACAATCAAGCCACAACAACATCCAACAATAGTGACATTGAAGATAGTGACAGTGATGATATCGAAGCGTCGGTACTGGAAACATTTGGGGACATTCAACTGGCGACGCGGGTATCGTCCTCCTCTCACGCGAGCCCTAGACCACCATCGCCGACGTCATCCTCCATGTGCTATTGCTGTCACTTGACCGACACCGACCATGCATTGGGCGACGTTGTACCGGGAATGCTGGCTCCCGTGACCCGTCAAATCGGATGCGATCTGAGAATTCCACCGGCCATCGCCCAACAAGTGACATCGCTTTGCACGTGGACGTCGCCTCTGTCGGCGCCATTTGAGTTCGATGTGGACGAACATGGGCAGCTGGTCGTGGGCCAATCAGTGGCTGACACGTGTCTGCTGAACCAAGGCGACGTCGTGCTCGCGTTGAACTCGACTGTAGTGTTGGAGACACAACAAGAGGACTTCGATGATCCGGCCACATTTGTCAGCTATGCCGACACGTTCATGGCGTCGCTGCCCCGTCCACTGATCGTGCTTACGGCCAACCCCACGGCGACTGTCGACTCGCGCCAGTTTCACACGTTTCAACTGCCATCATCGGAAAACGAAGAAGAAGAAGCTGTCAAGTGTCCACATGTGTCGATGGTTTCCGATACGCTGTGCCAGGTCATGTACCCTGCGACAGGGTTTGCAGCCGTCACCGGGTATATCTACCCGTACGACATTATCCACGCCATCAACGGTATACGGATTACAAGTGTGGATCAAGTACATGCGTTGTGGCAACCCCGGGCACTTGTGTGTATCTTTCGGCATCCGCTAGACCGCGGGGAAGAATATGCGACACGGTTGCTTTCAAACGGCGCGCCGTCGGACGTTCGAGCGTCGGTCTGGCGTCCCAAGTCGTATGCGATGACGTTTCACGACGGGCCGTTGGGACTGGCCCTGGAACTGGACGCCCATCTCGTGGTCGTGCGGTCCTTAACGGCTGTGAGCCAAGCAACCCACACGGTCCAGTCAGGTGACATTATCTTGGCCATCAACGAGACCCCCGTTGGGCGATTGAACGACCTCACCGAGTTTACCGACACGGTGCGGTCGCTGTCCCGACCCGTGTCGTTTCGATTTTACCGCCCCTCCCTCCCTTTAACGACATCCTCAACAACGACCAAGAACGCGATCCGTGTGACAGTGGGAGATATCCTTGTGGCTGCGACGTGGCTCGAATGCGACAAGGGTCTGGTGGTCTTATCGTGTTCCTCTTCTCGTGTGTTTCAAGTGGGCGACACACTCACGCATATAAACGGTGTCGCAGTTGTGGGCATGACAAGGGCGTGGCTGCACGACACGCTTGGCGTACTGCCATTGTACGACCAACTGCTCGTGGTTGTACGACCTCCGCCCGTGCCAGATGTCCCCGTTCAGGTCCATCCGCAATGCGCTGCGACGTGGAACCAAGCCATGATCCGAGGCACGGCGTTGAGACAGAAATGGACGGCTGCGACAGCGTTGGAAACGTTCTTAAAGTCGGTGGCGCCGCGCACGTGGCCAGTGGGACCGTATCTCAAGTTTCCTGGCGATCCCAATGTACTGTACAAGCACGAAAACAAGACGTGGTTTGCCACCACACAGGTATATATATATATATATATATATCGTGGACCAACGTTCTTGTGTTTCCATATGTCTATTTATCCCCATGTACTAAATATGACCTTTTACTATTCATGTGTATCTTCTACAGTATATATATATATATTGTCCTTTTGCCCAAAGTTTCGACTTTTGTGCTGATTCGCCAAATCTATCGATCGATTCTTTGTCCTGACTTTTGTACGTAAAAAGGTCCTGTTTCACACTAATTTAAGTCACACATTACTTCGATGTTAAATTGGTCATAGAGTGGGTTTAATTGGCTACTTGATTCGTGATCTGGTTGTGATTGGTCAATGGATTGTCTGCCTATTTGGTTAGTCTGGCCATTCGATTGAGCACCCCACTCCAATTTCGAATCGGCTTGACAATATATATATTGTATTCATGAGTGTCTTCCATGTACTTATACAAGATATATATATATATATATATATATTGTCACGTGGTTTTTCAGCACACATGTATATATTTTATATATATGTTTATGTATGTATCTGTTGGACAAACGCCCTTTTGTTTTCCATATGTCTATTTGTCCAAGGAACATGATCTGATACTATCCATCTATCCACCATGTATGTCTTCAATATATATTGTGGATTCGATACGAATTTCCAAACCCCGTTGAATCGAATCTCGCTGCCGAATCGAATCACGAATCGACGCCATTGGCTAATCCAATTTTGAGTGGATTTGATTGGCTCTTACAGAAAGGACAAGTATATTCTACCAATCAGAACTCCAGCGTGATTCAATATTGATCAGACAAACCACGCGAATTTTGGAAGTTTATGGAAAATTCACAATATATATATAGTATCTGTTCAGCCATAGCAGAAATCCGGATACTTATCCGTATATTATCCGGACACTCGGGGTTTCGGGGTTTCTGATTTTGGATGTTTGTGCGGACTCTCGATTGATGTTTTGTACTGCAATATCCTGTGGTAATTAAAGTCCTACACGAATTGATATGATGATTGGCTCCATCATTCGTCTGCACATTATTCTATAGTGTTGTTACCCCAGCTTAGAAGATGATATCCACGCAATAACCTATATATGATCCATGTAAACCAACCTTCGTTCCCATAGATCGCAGCGGTGGTGGCATCAGAAGAGTCGGATGCGGTGGCGACTGCCTTGCATTTCGCCTTTCAATCTCGACCGCCGACTCCGTCTTTAGGTCCATTTTCGATGCGGCCTCACTTCACTGTGACCCCGTCCAACCAGCACGAATCGTTTGTCATGTTACACGGTCGGCAGTACTTCCTGGGCACATTTGCATCGGCATCGGACGCCCAAACTGCTTATGATCAGTGCCAACAACGCTACGACACGCGGCAGCTGCTCCTAGCACCGTACTCGACGACGACATTTCCGCGAGTTGCGCTGCCCAGTTTCAAAGCTGAGGACGTTCTCAAGCGATTGCATGTGCGACGAGGTCCGTCTTGTACTTCTTCCTCTCATCACCCGCTGTCGGCGGAAATGAAGTACTTGGTCCGGTACAACATCCGAGCCCATCGGCCAAAACCATCACCCCCTCCAACCCTCACAAGTAATAACGAGTTCGTCAACCACCAAGGTCAGCAGCTCCAGCAGCAGTACCACGGAGCCTCCACGAAGAAACGCCCCCTTCCAGACGCCGATACCGCCTCCTCCCCCTATCCGATTACAACGACTCGAACGACTTCAACCAACACATCGCTCGAAGCGCACTTTAAAAGCCTTCAAGAGCTGAAAACGTCGATCAAACAAGCCTGGGGCAGCGTCCAGACGAGTCAGAACGCGCAGAGCTGTGCGCACTTGAGCGATGCGCTCCAGTCGACACATCACACGCTCACGTACGTGGCCCAGCACTTGGCCAAACATCCGTTGGACGTGGCCACTCCACTGACGTTTGTCGGTGTCCATCATGCCAGTGTGCTGTGTCTGCTTACAAAATCCATGAGCGAGTCACTCGCCAAGACCAGTCAGATGACGCTCGCCGACTTGCAACTCATGCACATGTGTGGGGACAACCTGCTGTGGTCCATAGAAGCATGTGTGACACCGTCGCTGCACCATCAAGTGATGTCATACTGTGTGGAATTGGCTAGCAAGTTACCCACGATGCTGGCATCGGGGCTGCTTTCAGCACAGATTAAAGCGACTGCGTTGACCATGGACTCGTTTTTCAACTCGTCCAAGTACTTGGCCGAACCAGCGTCGTCGTCTGTATCATGTCGCCCGCTGTTTGCCATGCTAAACAACCACCACACAGCTACCGCGACGAACCACGACCATCATTCCCACCAACCCCACCAACACTCGGCAATCATTCAACCGCTGCCGCCATCGTTGACCCAAGAGCTGTGGAAACTGCATACATGTCAAGGTCAGTTTGACAAGATGCTGAAAAAACTCAAAATCCCTTGGCCCCCCCCCCAAGCAGCCCACCCACGAGCCCTTGCTGCTACTACTAGTACTACTAGTAACCCATCCAACCAATCGGTGGCGGCGTCTCCAACCAATCGGTCGTTGTCTAGCCAAGACTCCATTGTGAGTTTTGAAGCGGGGCCGCTGGGGATTATCATCCAGCAAGAAGACAACAATAACGTCATCACTGTGGCTTCGTTCGCCGCGGGCGACCAAGGCCAGGCACTTCGAAGTGGCAAGGTCGCGGTTGGCGATGTGATTGTAGCCGTGAATGGCGACCCCATCTCGACCATCGGCATTGCCGGGTTCAAGCGCGCCGTGTCCAGCGGTGTGCGGCCGCTGTTGATTACGTTTCGCCGCCGTCAGCACATTGTCCGAACAGCTTCCTCTAAACAACCACCCAAAGCCAAACAGCTGCCTCGAAAACGAGCCAAACCATCCCCACCACCACTGACTACGACTACTAATCGCCCATCCACGACAAAATCAGTCGCCCAGTTGCCCCCTCGACCACCTTTTACTAGTACTACTAGTCCATACACGAACAACAACCAACAAGGGACGGCCACGTCATCGCAGCATAATTTTGCCATCCAATCGAACGAGGCCATGGGATCCAACGCGACACTCGAGTACGTACGCCATATGAGGATATACTTATTGTTCATATCTAATGCACGCGTGGTTGGTTATATATTCATAGGTACTTTTCACGTGAATTATTGGTGGAGCCAACCACCCAACAAGAACCTCTGCCGTCGCACACGGTAGATGGGAATAATCCATTCAACGTCGTCCACCACCATACGACCAATATCGTACCGCAGCAGCACAACCAACAAGCGTCCGAGTACCAGTACCCTCAACCTCCATCGTCCGATCCAGCCTCGTCCATGTGGGCAGCCGCGCATGCCACAGCCAACGCGGCGCTGTACGCTAGCAACCCCATGTACTACAGCATGTACAACCACTCGATGCAGCCACCCACCACCACCCCTACCACCACCATGGACGGCGGCGGCAATGGCGGTGTTGTTGGGATGCTCATGCAAGACCAGTCGACTTCTATCGACTTGTTGATGCACCCGCCCTTGTATGTTGTTTCTACGACCCACGACGACCAAGAGCAACCACAACCCGACCTCCAGCAGTACTTTGACCCTCAATATTACACGCCCCCGTCTGCGTTTCGATCTGGCCCCGCTGGTGTGGCGTTTATTAGCCAAGTGGACGAGGAACCTCCCCTGACTGCATCCCCCGTTGGTCAAGACGCCACTCCAATCAACAGCAGCACCACCACCAGTGAACCCGACTTAACCACCACCACCCCCATCCCACCTGAACCAGTAGTGTCCTCCCCAGCATCCTTGGCTTCCACTCCCCCTGCATCGAATGCACTGCCGACCCCCTCGTCCTCGCCGCCCCAGGTATACTCTCTCTATGAATTGGACAACGAATATATGGTCCATTCATTGCGCCTTTCTCACCCACATTTGGACTTGTGTGAGTCATTTCGCCAAATCGCATTGCAGTCTATTTGATTGAATTTGACAAGCTTGTACAAACTATACAACGATTAGGATATATATATATTATATATATGGGTTTGCCCAAACATGCCGAGGGACTGGGCCGAGTCAAACGTTTGGATTGGCAGAAATATCGACCAGAATGTGATTTGATTGGCTTTGGCAGTTTTTGAATGAGCGCTCCAGTTTCGAATCGATTTGACAATATGGGTTCCTTTTACCCCAACTTTGAACATGTGTGCGCTGATTCGCCAACTCTATCGATCGAGTCTATGTACTGATTGTTATGTAAACAAATCGCCCCGTGTCACATGAATTCCATGTTTCATTGGTCGACGAGTGGATCATTTGATTGGCTACTTGATTCATGATCTGGTTTTTGATTGGTCGTGATTGATTTATTTACTCCAATATATTTCGAATCGAAAAAACTCCTAAATGCTGCTGCTAACTATAGCTGTTAAACACCCCCCAAAGCAAACCCAAACAGCAACCTCCTGCAGCAGTGGACAACTCTAGTAGTACCGTGAGATCCACCGGTCGGCGGTCGTCGCGTGTGAGTCGAAAGCCCGAGCCGCTCGTGTCTCACACGTCTGCGACACCGTCAGCAATGGCCGCCCCCACGCTGCACATTCCAGGGGCAGGAACACAAGGCGAGTTTGCCACCGACAGTTTGCCCGTTTCCAAAGCCACGACCTCGTCATCTCTTGCGTTTTCATTGGTGCAGGCGCAGCTACTGGCGATCGAGGCGGCGCTCCCCCGCGATGCATTTCGCCACAATAAGTGGACACCGGCTCTGCGCACGGGATGGGCCGACCTGATCGTCCACGCGACGTCGAGTCGGGCGTTGCTAGAGGCATTGCTTGTTCTCGAAGCCACGATTGAAAACGAATACTTGGATCCTGCATTCAAGGCCCAGTCGTCGCTCACGATCAAGATGCTTCTGCCCACGGCCACGATCGCGTCGGCCGCCATGCGACTGTACGCGCTGGACGACGCTCTGAGCTACGTTAAGTCTGTGAAACCACGCATGTCGTCGTCGAGCTATAAACGAAAACTCCAAGCTACGAACAGTAGCTCGGCGGGATCGATTGGAACCCGGCGGAGTACGAGTACTAGTACTACTAGTAGTACTAGCCCAGACGACGTGCCGCTGCTGCCACCCTGTCCTGGGCTCACCGATCCCGTGCTCAGCCGCCTTGCCATGCAAAAACTACGACTTGCCTTGACCAATACCCCCCCCCATGAACTGTGTCGCAGAGTACGTTGTGACAATGTGGTTGCTACATGTTTGTATTAGTATTGATTCGACTTGTACTGATGTTTCGCCAGCAACTGTTTTGGTTTGTACTGAAGTTTGTATGGAAAAAAGTTGTCATTTTGATTGGACTACTCATTTGAAGGCACACACGAATTAGATGTTTGTGGTTTATTCCTGCTATCTGATTGGCTAAAAATAAAGAAATATACACATATCATGACAACTTATGTAGACGCTGGGCGAGTTGGGCGGACTCACTCGGCTACCGTCGCTGATCCTCGAGCGCTGGTACAAGCAATGCTTGGCTTTGTTGCCTGCTACGTCATCATCTGCTACTACTAGTACTACTACTAGTACCGTGGCGCCCCCACCATTGAAAAAAGTCAAAGGCAGTCGCGGCGTAGGCCGACCACCCAAACAGATCGAGTACCGATTTGAGCCACAACAGCAGCAGTCGAGTATTTCCCCCGCCTTGTTAAAAGACCCGACGCTCAAAGATCGCTTTATCGCTGTATTGCAAACACTGCAAACCAAGGCGGCCGTGGCGGCGCCATTTTTGAAGCCCGTGGACCCCGACGAGTTTCCAACGTACCGCCGTATCGTACCCTACCCGATGGATTTGCACACAATGCTGCAGCGGGTTCAAGATGGCGTATATGATAACCGTCTGCAGCACATTCCCATCGACATGAGTCGAATATGGACCAATTGTTTTGCATTCAATTCCGTGCAAGCCGAGATATCGACCCTTGCGCGTCGGTTGCGGTAGGTGTCTATGGATGTATCCTGTGGTTGGCATTGGTTATATATGTGACACGGTGTTTATGGAGGAGTATTGGTAGGGGATGATTTATGAATATGTATGGGTAGGTCGATTTTCCAGCGGTTGATGGAAGAGTATGTGGTTCTGGCACCCGCGGGCACGTTGCCAGAGGACCTTATCTGCGACGACGCGTGCCGCGTGTGTCGAGCAGAGGCACAGGAGCATGTGATGCTGCTCTGCGACTCGTGCGATGCCGCGTATCATTCGCTTTGTGCTGGCCTCGACGAAGTTCCAACCGCGAATTGGTATTGCACGCGATGTGTGGAAAACCCAGAGTTGAAATAGACACGATATATATCCACCACACTTGAATAAATCACATCATCCCTGTCTGTACATCACACACATATCCTCGTTCTTTGGAAGAGTCGAATCCATGCACTATTAATATATAATAGTACGTACTACTACTACTACGTAGTAATAGTAGTTTGGAATATAAATAGGACTTTGTGTGGTTCCCGTTAGGATTGTGAGACGGTAGTTTCTGCTGTGAATCCATCCACCTATTATTAGTAGTACTTCGCAACTGGAAATTGACACAGCACGAGAATTGAGCCAATCAGATTGCAAAAAGTAAAATCAACATCTAATTAGTATGTGATATCAATTAGTGTGATACTAATCACCAGGGACTTCACATCCACATTTTGGGTAAAAGGACAATAACGTTATTAGACTGGCTTTGGAAGATCCCCTGCAACTCACAAGACTGTGTTATTAGTAGTACTAGCATAGTACTAGCATAGTTTAGTTAATGACTGTTGCTTCCTGTTTGTAAAGACAATAACGTTATTAGGGGGCTTGGAATATTCACAAGACAGTGTTATTAGTAGTACTAGCATATTACTAGCATAGTTTAGTTAATGACTGTTGCTTCCTGTTTGTTACTAAGCTTAGTGCAATCACTTCACAGAAGAAGCGTGTACATATATATATATATATTTCCAAGATATCATGGATTTCATCCAAGTTGTGACTTATTTAGCAGCTTTCGGAAACCACGGGACCAGCACATTCGTGGTAGCTTTATACGTTTGATATGCCGGGTGCGTTGCCCACTTGTTGTCTGCGCTTTGCTCGAGCAACGGGATGCCAGACACGCGAGTCAATAGAAACGTGACAAAGAGAGGCGATAAGCAACCCAGCAACTTGTGCGCAAACGTGGCCAAGTGCGGGACGCACAGCACGGCCATGCCCACCCAGAGCATGATTTCGCCAAAGTAGTTTGGATGGCGACTGAACCGCCACAGTCCCGTGGCAATGAACTTGTCGTGGTTGGATGAATCGCGTCGAAACTCTCGCTTTTGCGCATCGGCGGTGATTTCTACGATAAACCCAAACACCCACAACGCCAGGCCAACGAAATCGGTCAATGTCCACTCGGCGGCGGCTGGCGACGACGTAGCTAAACTAGCTCCATGCAACAAGACCAAGGGCAAGGTCGTAATCAACACCCACATCGACTGAACAGACCATAGCGACAGAAACCGAAGCGGGTCGGTCCGGAGCTCTGTGAATCGCGAGTCGATCCCGTTGTCCGCGTTGATGCGTGAGAAGAGGAACCAGCCCAGGCGTAATCCCCACCTCGCCACCATCGCCGACGCCAACACGGACCGATATGACGATGACGACAACTGCGAGCTAGCGCTGGATAACGTGGTGGCGGCGGTAACTCCCGCCACGGTCACAAACGTGGACGACCCCGTCAGATCGAAGTACCTCTCGAACTATTTGGAATGGAGTGCACGAGTGCCACAACCCAGTTGATCCCAAACGTCACCAAGACATGCCGAGTGAGACCAGTGGGCACCGTCAGCGCCAAGGCCAAAGCCAACGATACCCCCGACACGGCCACAGACTTGAGCACACCCATACTGGTACTGCAGCAAAAGGTTGTGGAAGTTCACCCTTTGATCTGTCACAATACGTAATATACTGTTATACCCCAAATTCGTGTATGTCAACTTTACAATCTGGACAAATATGTATTTCCAGAGGTTGGTTCATAAAGCATTTACAGTAAAGTTAGTATACATTTTGACCGTTGTTATTGCACTGTGAGTCGACAAAATATGGCTGATTATTGTGATCAAGCATTTTGGAGACAGGAACTTCCTATTAATAATAACGTTAACGTTAGGCTTCGAAGTACTACAGTAACGTTAGTATACGTATCATACTAGTACTTCATTTCACGTGAACGATTCCGCTGTTAATAACTTCAAGGCAAACTACAAATTGGTGTCTTTCATCATACCACCCTTGATTCTCCTCGTTAGAACCCAAACTTGCATTATTGTCGACATCAGCAGCGATCACTTTGTTACTGGCCATGCTGTCCAGCCCATATATCCTCTCGCACAACCTACAACAGCCCACCGACATGTCAACCACCACTTTGGCCCTGCATTATATATATACTTCGCCATAGTCTGTCCACTGTACAGTCGGCGGAAGGGCTCTCGCTCCAAACATGGGAAACCGGGCGGTGGCGTACGCGCCCAGGTAGTACATGTCTGCGTCCACATTGCAGTACGTGAACACGTCTGCTCGTTTTGGGCTGTGGGCTGTTATTGTCTTGGCAACGGGTACCCTTGGGTCTGCGACGAGGTTTCTGGGGTAAGTTCTCGGTAGAGTATGGGGCGGCGATTTTCTGGCTAATCCGAGGTGGTACTGCGGCGGTGTAAACACAAACCCGAGCGCAGTGAGCAGTTGAACCTGCTCGGGCAGCAGCGTCCGTTTATGTTGGCGAAGTGACGCTACAATCCAGCCCAGTGGAAGGCCATGGGTCGGAGTGGGCCACTGGGAGTCGTCATCGGGTACGACAAACAGCGTGGGCACATGCATATGGCCATGTACGTGCTTGAACGTTTTGAGGGCGATAAGTCGATTTGTCCACGTTACTTGACGTTCGTCCCAGAGAAACCCAATATGGTCGAGTTGATCCCGCTGCGATTGGGACAAACTCCCCCGCGGGGCGGCGCGGAGAGCTTGCGCGAGGCGGCCGAGGGGTAGACAACTCGCATCTTTGGGCCAAATCGTGTCTAATTCAGGTGGTGGTGGCAGCATCTCTGTGGTGTGGGTATTGCAGGGCGGAACTTGAAACGAAGGTGGCACCGCCAAGTTCCCGTACTTGGCTTTGTATGCGTACAGGGCAGCTAGGTGCACCTTCCACTGCAGCGCTGCCTCGTCGTCGTCCCATACAAAGTGGCATGCTGTGGCTTGAGCGACAGTATGCGAATGCAATTGGCCATGGCGATACGCTTCTCGACACGCCGACACGTTGACCACAGTCCCAGCCCAAGCGAGTGGCCACGGATGTTGACGCGGAATCGTAAACGTAGGTGCAAGGTATGTGTAGTCAGAGATATGCCGTTGGATGCTGTAGGCGACTTGAACCACTTGGACGAACCTGGCTTCGGGGTCGTTGGACAACGGGATGGGCGGCGGCGGGGGTGACGTTGTTTCATCGGGTGTTGGCTGCTGGGAGGATACGACCAAGTCAGGAGAGGCGTGGAGTAGAGTCGGAGACAAAGGACTGCTAGGGGACGAAGGTGGGCTTAAATTGAAAGATGGGGTCACTGTCGGTGGGGAGAGTTGTTCGTGCGACGGTTGAGGCGGTGATGTTGAAGTTGGTGTCAGGCGACGTCGTCGATGAGATCGCATGGTTGGTTGGCCCAGGAATGAATATGGATCCTTGACCTCTGCCTGACGCTTGGTACTCGTGGGGTGCTGTTGAGACAGAGGCGCCCTGAGGTAGTATGCCTGATGTGACTTGTTCCGATGGTACGGTTGAGGAGATTCGTCTCCACTTGAGGAGCTGCTGCTGCTCGAGAGGGACACGACCTCCACAGGCATTCCCATTGAATGAGCTGGCGCTCCACACTTATCCTCGTCATCAGATGAGGACGACAGCAGATCAATCACCTCCACGCCACCGGCGCCGGCAACGCGATGGTCGATTGTCATCAGCACTTTGAGACGGTAGACAGAATTGCAACCACGATGATGATTGGACAGATATTATGAAAGTAGTAGGTTAAACTACTAGTACTTCATAATATCTGTCCAATCATCATCGTGGTTGCAATAGTCATGAATTACTGAATTACTTGCGAATTTTTATGCAAAAATAAACGAAGGAAAAAGAGTGCGCCGTCCGGGAATCGAACCCAGCCGGCATGGCGGATAATATTTTTACCATTATTAAACCAACGGCGCTTCATATTCTTATCATGTATTGTGTGTGTGCTTTGCACCTGTTTTGGCGTCGGTTTTACATAGCTAAAAGAGTAGGTACAGGTACTGTGGATAATTTATACTAGTACCAGTATGAGAGTTTGGATTGTGGTTACAAAAAACATATGATTGGTGTATTTTTATTCAATATTTCAAAAATACGACGAAGGGCAACATGATATGGTGCACCAGAATCGACTCATACTGTAGTACATGGAAGTTGACAAGTTGCCTTCAATTTGGCAATCCTCGTCGAGCTGATATGGTCTTGTACAATGCAGTTAGCATCAGCAGCAACACACGTCTCCTCATCGCGTTCCTACAGTCTGCACAAAAAGTATAGACGCACCCCACAATTTTGGGTTCACAAAAGATCTGCTGATGCTGCAGCCACGCTAGTTGTACGTGAAGAAATTTAATAAACCAAAACGGTATTCCCCAAAAGGAATATAGGATGCTTGTTGCCGTTCACAAGAAAAATCAAAATTTCGCAAATTTGGTTGCACAATTAGTATAGACGCACTCTCAATCGATACATTTATTTATCGATACATTGACCACGGCGGAGGATAACTTGGGCCATTCGTGTTGGCATACCTTCAGCCAACTTAGATAGGTACCCCTGATCGATTTCAGCCCATGATTTTTCAATCTGAGCTTTCAATTCGGCTCTGCTTTCAAATTGACGACCGTTTTCATAGACCTTCCTCGCGAGAACGCCCCAAACATTCTCAATTGGGCTCAAATCGGGGCTCTTGGCAGGCCAAGGCATTGTTGGCCACGGCATTTCAGCAAGGTAGGCCATGGTGGAGTGGGAACGATGAATACTGGCATTATCTTGTTGAAAAATGGCCTCATGGTTAGGGACCAAGCCAACAAGTTCGCGCATTGCGGGCAACAGGTGCGATCGCAGGGTTTCTTGGTACTTTCGGGAGTTTTGGCGACCCTCCAGGAAGGCTAACGAGGTCTTGTTGTAGAAACTCATGCCACCCCACACCATAACCGAGCCACCTCCTGCGACACGTTTCGAGTACGTCTCCACATCCTGGAGCAAGTCGTGCCAGTAGTACTGGCAACCGTCGGGGCCGTCTAGGTTGAACTTTTTTTCGTCCGTAAATAACGTAACCTGGGGGTGAGTCGTGGACCGGACCGGCGCTTGATGTACTTGGCGAATTTAGACGCCTTTAACACGTAAAGAACAGTGTTTCGTGTTACTTTAACACGTTAAGAACAGTGTTTCGTGTTACTTTAACACGTTAAGAACAGTGTTTCGTGTTACTTTACACTTTACTAGTGCAGCCGAAATCTGCTTGCACGACATGTTCTTGCGGGTGGCGAGGCGAAAGATACGTCGGACGTCACGGCGCTTGAGCTTGAAGGGTCTCCCATGCATTTTTTGCGGTACTGGTTGGCCAATACTTCGGACAAACGACCGTACAAGCTTGTTGCTTCGCTGGATTGCTTTGGCGATGTAGCGATAGCTCTTTTTGAGCTGAAGAAAAGCCATTATCTGGCCCTTCTCTTGCTCGGTGATGTTTGGCCCCCTTGGCATCCCTGGGGGTCGTTTTTCCCGTCTTGAGATTGCTGGTGGTAGCTCGTCATGATTGTAAAACATGTGTACCAATTTGGAGGCTAATAATTGGCTAAAAAGTGCAAAAAATATCCAATAGAAGCTTCGAATTCAAAGTGCGTCTATACTTTTTGTGCAACCAAATTTTCGAAATTTTGGTTTTTCTTGTGAACGGCAATGAGCACCCACTGTTTCCTTTGGGGAATGCCGTTTGGGTTTAGTACATTTCTGCACATACAACTAGCATGGCTGCAGCATCGGCAGATCTTTTGTGAACCCAAAATTTTGCGGTGCGTCTATACTTATTGTGCAGACTGTAGTAGTTAAGTCCGCTAGCTACAAACGCAGGTAGCAGCAGCCGTGGCCATTAAGTGCCCGCTGAGCGATTTTAACTTTACAGCGTAATATTAATATCGATACAGTATCCTCATCGCGTTCCTAGTGATGAATCTCGTACAGCACTTACCGGTATAGTGCCACCTGAGGTTGTGGACACTCTTCGTTGGGTTTGAACGTTTTAGACAAAACTCGGGAGTCAAGTATATGGCAAGTCATTAAATGAAGTATCTTCTGCACAAGCAGCTTTTATCAATTGATCTCGCAACCGGGTTGGATCGATCGAACCCAAATTCAACAAGGCCTCTGCCTGGTCGTGGGAGGAACTGTTTTAAAACATGCATAACGCGTTAAGCAAAACTTACTGTCGTATTCTGTGAGGTGATAACCCTATCTACGATATGTAATCTATCGATTACCAGTAATTTCAGCAAAATCGGAGCAGTATTGAGCGAGTGGCGTAGTTTTGAAAAGTCGCTGGTCTGGTCGTGGAATTTTAAGTTTGGATATCTCGGCAACCATGTACATACAATAAAAAATCCCAAAATAGCTACCTATTCCTGTCTGTAATCCCAACATGAAAAGCCTAATTAGAATGAATTTTGGTTATTTTTGACTGAGTTGAGGTTCTGAGAATTCTTCCACAACTTCTTTCAGGAACGGAGGATTGAATAAATACCTGCATGTGATTTTAATACAGTACTGAAAGTAGCCAAAACACCTTGGCTGTTAATTCCATCGCGTAGTACATGCTACATGCATGTACTACGCGTGGTTTTCTAGGATATGGCACCATACGTACATCGCTATACGGCAGAACTCAGGCGCATGTCCTCGCTGTGAGTCATTTGCAATATCAAAAGTTGTTAATGATGGCCAGTGAATTGTGCAACTTGGTCCCGTGAATAGCACATATAACGTTAACTTCGATTTGCACTTTTCAAATGTGCAAAAGCGAGGGAGTTGCATACCGGTAAATGACCTCCCTATAATTACATTCTGTAACGAAACGTGACATCCTAACAGTAAATCACGGCACAGATAATCTAAAACACTGGGTTCGATGTAACAAACACCCAGGTTTATGGTGTGACTAGCCAAAACGAGTGAAAAGCACAATACTACTATTAATATATACTACGTAGTAGTATCTACAAAATATATAGCACTTGCTAAGCTAAATCCTAACGTTAAAGTTACTTCGAAGTACTTGCAATCACCTACCGGGGATAGTGAACTCACAGCGTTGTTTAACTGTTTGTTCATCATATTAATACTACGTAGTACATCATGCTTCGAAGAGTCCCATGTGACAGCACCAGAAAGAAGCAAGTACAGTTACACACCTCGCTCAGATATCCGAACGTCGCGGTGCTGATGAACCCTTGCATCATTTGTTCTAAAGGATACTTCAACTCTTCCATACTACTACTGTAACGCTCGCTCTTGTGAGCTGAGGGAGATTCAGCGATCGAATCTCCAAATCGACTTGAGATAGGAATAATTTGGAGATTATATTTCAAAGGGTTAATGAAGTGTACTTACTGTACAGTAACGTATCCTTGCATTGCCCATACCGTGATGCACCAGTTGTCGCGCTGGATGCAGTGAAGAGAAAGTCAAATACGGAGTACCTGGTACATACCGTAGCAGAAAAAAGAGTGCCGTCACTACTGTACAGTACCGGAGGCCACTTATCTTGCAAATGTGGCGCGCGCACCACATCCATCGCCTCTTCACGCCATCGATGGCTCCAACCGAGTGATAAGTTGAAGCTGTCCAAATTGCACTCAAAGCTCCATGTTGCCCAAAGAAGCTTGTAAGTTCATGATTCTGAGGTCGTGGTAATCGTTACTTCTCGCGCGTCACATATTTTTACCATGTGTAGCCAATCATGGCAAGTGGTCTGTCGCAGGTTGCAAGAAATCGCGTGGGCAATTCTATGGATCGAAACCAGCTTAAATTCGAACCGACCTAACGTCAGATTCTAAATCCACATCGCTGACCAACCACCACCTCTGACGAACGATGGATGGCGACGACACTGTAGAATTTCACGCGATGGGGCTATTTGACAAGGAAACCAAGTTCGGCCTCGACCCGCGGTGGCTACGCCGCAACAACAACAACCTTGGTTACGAACACCAGCTAAATCAAATCAAGGACGTTCTGAAGACCCACGACACACAGCACAATCTGTTCCCGTTGGCGTTCTACAGGCACGTGAAGCCGCCGGTGTCGCCGCCAGAAAAGTTCCGCCACCGGCCGGAAATGGTCGCTGGAAAGAAAGTGCCGTTCACGGTCGCAATGGCCACTCGGGGGCGCCACCGCATGACTCGATTGGGAGCGATCCCAGAAGGAGAGAACAAGGACGCTTGCCGCACGTGCAAGCGCAAACCATCCCGGCATCCGAGAATGATCAGAGTCGGCAACAGCTTCAAGCTCATTGCGTGACATCAAGACAAGGGTCGACGATGACACCATCGCGACGACGACCCACACCTGGTAGTTGCAGTATTGGTGGCATGACACTTGAGTAGTGTAGATCGCATCGACGTACTACTAACGTTAGTATTTATTCGAGAAACACAAGTAATTCACAGTCAAGCTGGGAACTCGTTGGAGTTGGGAACAAAATCGCTCAACTACAATACCATTTGCACTGGTACAGTTACTGTACGTACGCAGTATCGTCGACAAATCCACATGCAACCCACAATCGACTATACGGTACACTTTACATAATTACTACTTTTACTTCAACGTATGCGCAACTGAATTCGGGAGACATGGTCGACCTCGTTATACTCAACTTACGGAATTACCTGGATGAAAACGACTCGTCCGACCCGTTTTCACGTGGGGAGTAACTGCTTGGCTTAGCTTGGAGTTTCACGGGGTTGTGCATACCCGTTGCACTTACGAGCCCCCCTTCCCTCACACTCATTGTCGGTTTAAACTTGTACCTGTAGGAGCATTGACATCCTGTGTGTGTACACCACATACACTGCCGTGGGCGAATTGCACTGAGCGGGGAAAAACCCTAAATCAAAACTGAAGCCTCGTCACACAGATTCCACCAACAACGTTTTGCCACGCCTAACGTGTCCGAGAAATGCCATTTTTTTCATTGATGCAAAAAACCAGCGAGTGTGTTTAGTTCAAAGGGCTTGCAACTTCCGTATACTTGTTGCCGTTTCGTCGGATATTCAAAATGGCGCCTCCATCTCGCCGCTGCCACAACTCAAACTTCCACGAATAACCTCATAACCTCATGCAAACCACACCCACATTTGCTTGGTACTATTCACAGCATATACTGTATTCCCCGCAGATTCGGTCCTGTAGCACGACTGCACATGGGCATCAAGTATTCGGTGCAAGCCGTGACCCGGAACGCTGACGGAAGTTTGTCCCTGCACTCCAAGTACAAACGCTTTCTCCAGGCCAAGTGCCCCGACTTTGCCTACACCGCGTGCCTCATCACCCCCGACATTACTCGTCTTGTCATGGCGAATTGGGATTCGGTCGCGAACGGCACGGCGTTGGGGATGAAAGGAATCGAGTCGCCCGTGGTGTACTTTTACGACAACTTTTACAATGATTTGTTCGTGGAAGACCCGTCGGTACTGTTGTTTTTAAACCTTAACTATATTGCTGACTTTCTGTTATTCAAATAGACTAGACCCCTGTTTCGGTCGTCGATCATTGTCCAAGGCAAAGCGTTGATCAACATCGTTCAGTCCATCACCCATGCCGTCAATTCCCCCCAGGCGATTGAACGGGTGGTCGATTTGGCCTACCGACACAATAAATACAAAGTGAAAATGGAGTACTACAACACCCTCGGCAAAGTGCTGTTGACATCCCTGAAACGATGCAGCGGGGGCGATGCCGTGTGGAATCCCCCCTTGGACCTGGCGTGGCGAACGGTCTACGCGTATATGCTGACGGCCATGACTCCCATCGTGTATCATGGTCATACTGCTCCATCCAACAAGGACAAAGAAATGGCCAAGTCTGGGCGGTTTATCCACACCATGACCTTCCGCGCCCCCAAAGCTGTACAACCAATGAACGCTGGAGGGGGCGGCCAATGTCCAGTAAACTTCGCACAAGTGTCGCCCACAGGTGGCGTGCTGCAGTGCCCTGTGCAACCTTCTCATCGGTAAACTGGATAGCCCTCCTAATAGAATTGTTCAAATATACGATATTATTTCTAACTACAATATATGCCCAATCTGCGCCCCGAGTACTGTACTTACTACAGTAAGCTTAGTTGGCTGGACAAGGGAATACCTGAGTGGTATTAATCGTACGCCAAAGGCTTCGACCAGTATAACATGAAAACCCTGAAAGCCTGGAAACGGTCCATTGTCCAAGGGTTTTAATGTATTATAATTGAGGTCCTCCGTATGGCTTTGGATAACGAGGGTTGGAGAATTTGCGACAGATCCAATGTGATCACAAGTGCTCAAGTTCAACAACACCATATCGGTTGTGCTGATGTGCTAAATGCCATCACGCTGGCAATCGCAGCAGTATTAATTGGGGTCGCTGGCATTGCTTTGGACAACGATGATCAACGCCTCGCCTTGCACAACGATCGAGGATCGAACTAGGGGGAGCACCTGTAGTACACCAGGCACAGCTTTGTATGCAGCAAACACAACACACACGAGTACTATTTTGTTGAATCACTTCCTTCCACCTTACGGCCACTTCATACAGTCTGTTGTAAAATACGTCGTAAAAGTCAATAACTGACGACGCGTTTCCGTTGGCTCACATGGCGGGTGTGTAGCCGTTGGTGGTAGCTTCCCAACTATCAACACGCAGCAACGGGGGACATTTCACCGCACAAGGGCAAAGCCAGGGGCTGTTCCATCAAGAACATGCGATACTCTGCAAGCAGCACGACTAGCGCTCTTCGCCGCTAGAAATATCGGCCTCAGCGAATTCTGCAGGGTGAATCCCTAGTGACGACGTAGCATAGACCCTCGTGAATGAATACTTGTATTGGTGGCGTCAGTTCTACGAACATTAGGATCAACTTGATCGCATTACAAGTCACGAGAAACAAAACTCGCATGGCAATCATCTTCTTGATTCGTCCGCAGTAAATATGCATCGCCTAACTTTACGAGGACAGAGAGAGACGTGTACTGTTTCAACATACGGGCGTTTCAGGGAGTATTCCGTTCCCTTATTGCTTTAGGAATCACGTAGGATGCGACGATATGAACTTCAGGAGTACATGTTCCTTTCGGTGCAAGCAATCATGATCAGGCAGGGTACAGCAATCATGAACACAGGGCCTATAGTCACGACCGAATTTGGTCAAGTCCAAGCCATCCCCTGTTCGAATTCCTCGTGTATGCTCACACATTGTTGGAACCATTTACGAAACGCGACGATAGATACTGTATTAATTGGACCCGAACTGTTGACTGTGCTGCCAAGTTACGACGGGGGCTCCCTCCACGCGAGCTGCTTGACGGGGCACTCTGACGCACTAGATTCTGGAAGGAGGGAATTCAGTGACACTGCAACCGGTTGGACACTTGAGTACCGCTTTCTCTTCATATTATGGCGATAGCGCCCTCGTTTTGCCATGGCCTTGTCGCGCTCTGTGGGGTGGGTCACGCCATGGTATAAAATTGGAGCCATCGTCGTCATCATGTACGCATACACTGTCCGCCAACCCACGTCCAACTCATTTGTCCACAACTCGTGCCCAGTGCAATCTCGGAGGACTTCCAGCAGCACGCGCCCCAGCACGTTGTAGTATTGCATTTTCACGCCGTATTGGTTGTGGCGATATGCCAATTCGACGACGTTGGCAATAGCGTCGGCGGAGTTGACGCCATTGGCAATGCTCTGGACAATGTTGATCAGCGCCTTGCCTTGCACGATGATCGACGATCGAAACAGCGAGCGCACCTACCGTTGTAATATATTACAACGGTAAGCAACAAAACTCACACATCTCGAGAGAGTATTACTACCTCGGGGGCCACTTCAAACAGTCGCGTGTAAAAGCTGTCGTAAAAGTACACGACAGGGGACGAGTGTCCTTTGGCTCGCATCGCGGGGGTGTGGCCACATGCAATGGCTTCCCAGTTGGCCAACACGCGGTGTTGGATCGCAGGAGTGATTTTGCAGCGTACAAAGGCAAAGTCAGGACACTTCTCCACCAAGAACGTGCGATACTGTGCGAGCAGCACGAGTTCGCCATTTCGCCGGATCTTGATTGCTTGCACCGAATTGATTATGCCCATGATGCGGGTTCCGGAATCAATGACCACTCAACGATGATATTATTGTCTTCGGTTTTTTGTGCAATGTGGGAGCGATGAAAAGTCAGATAAGACCCCGCCAAGCCAATGAATCAACAGCCTGCGATAAATATAGGCGACTGCTGAAGAAACATCAGCGACATGCACACCCGAGGGTGTGATGCTACTGGTCTTCTTGCAGCCAATCCCTAGCCTTTATGTGTGGCTTGATTCCCGCGAATGCGTTCCTTTAAAAGGTGATTGAATGTCGAGGACTAACGTACGAGCATCTCCACTCGTCAGACTTAACACTGTAAAGGTCTGATTTATACGGATAGCCCTTAGGTAGGACCAGTTTTGGACTTATACTCCCACCTGTTGGTTGGTTTTATTGATAAGTCCAAACATAAGTTCAGCCCCGAAAAGTCCTATCATAGGGCTTTTTCGTCAAATTGAAATGCCTGAAATGGTACTACTGGGTTTCGCCGATTATGGCGGCGAAACCCAGTAGAATCACTGGATTGGATATTATTGTACTAGTCTATCCAATGAAAGACTTGTATGTGTGGATAAGCCAAGTATGATGCTGATTCGTTGATAATCTAAATCATTACAAATTGATTGGCTCAAAATGAAAAGATATTTTGATCAAATTGCAATTCTCACGACAGGAGTCAACGAGGACTTGCCATGTCCAAGGTAGCCTTCGTGACGGGCGCGACGGGCTTCCTGGGCCAAAACCTCGTCAACTCGTTGCTGGAGCAACACTGGACCGTGATCGCGTTCGTTCGAGCCACGTCTGTCACGGCACCACTCACAGCGCGTGGCGGGGTGACGTGTGTGGTGGGGAACATGCTGGACGCAGCGTCCATTGCCGCCGCGATGCCTCTGGACGTGGACGCAGTGTTCCACGTCGCGGCCAACACGTCGTTGTGGGTTGCCACTCATCGGTTGCAATACGAAGAGAACGTGTACGGCACCAAAGCCATGTGCGACGCCGCCGTGCAACGTCGCGCCAAGCGCTTTGTGTTTGTGAGCTCCATCAGTGCCTACGGGTACGTTCCCCACGTGCTCGTGGAAACAACCCCCGACGACGGACGCCGCGACTACTCGATGAACTACAGCCGCTCCAAACGCGATGCCGAAGTCGTCGTGCGCGACGCCATAGCCTCCCATGGCCTTGACGCTGTGATTGTAAACCCCGGACAGATCGTCGGGCCCCACGACACCAAGAACTTTAGCCGCATATTCCTCATGCTGGCCAAGAATCGGTTAGACGGCATCCCGCCAGGCATGGGCTCGTTTGCGTACGCGCCGGACGTGGCCGACGCCACGATCGCCGCCGCCGAGCGAGGCCGAGTGGGTGAGAACTACCTTCTCGGGGGCGAGACCGCCAGCTACCGCGACTTGATCGTCAACGCAGCCACCCTCATGGGCAAGAAGGAGACGCGGCGGCCGCTTCCACGGTGGGTAGTCCTCCTACTCGGTCGACTGTACGACCTCTACTCGGTGTACTGGTCCCACGTTGAGCCAGAAATCAGCTACGACGTAGCCTACGAAGTGTGTGCCACGTCCATAGTCGACAGCACCAAGGCCAAGACTGAGCTGGGGTACCAAACGCGAACACTTGGTGAAATTCTGCCACCGACGCTGCAGTGGTTGGAATCCAATGGCCATTTCGCGACATAACTGATATCAACTCAATCGATTCTAGGGGGTTCCTCGCTACGTTGTGTGTGTATGTGTGCGTGACGTTGTCTACGACAGGATGAATGTACTTACTCCTTGGTTTATAAGCTTTTAATTCAAAGTTTGCACTACAATACTGTACAATAGTACATAATACCGCAATACAGCTCGTGAGAGAGAGGTCTTCTTCACGGTATTATTGTCCTTTTACCCAAACTTTGGACTTTCGTGGAGAATTGCCAAATCTATCCATCGATACTTTGTACTGAAATTTGTACGATGTGTATCACACTAATTGAAGTCACACACTAATTTGACGTTGTTCATGGATTCCTACAATCGGATATTGGCTCCGTACCTTTATTTGGTTATTCATTCTCATGTCGCTCCATGTTTAGATAGACCCCTCGCGTGGTTTATGTATGATCAACGTGTTGTCCACATACACAAAGTGTTGGTCCAACTAGTACAACTTGGCGTATTCCAATGGTGTATGCCTGAGGCAAACAATCCTCATGATAAACAATAAAAAGAAGCTGTACATGACCAAAGCAAGACGAGGATCATTTTTCATTCACATTAAACCACCCCCCGCTGCAACTTGAACGCCGACTTTGTCGTCGCAAAGGTTGGCGTCGAACGGGCCAATTTAAACGGAAGGCATAGCACCCACGCCACAACCGAGAGCGGATACGTCAGCACTCTGGCGGCGTTGATCCACAGAAGGCGACGCCACGCCCAGTTGTCCACAATACGTTTGTATGGCCAGCGGTGGATACCCATCGGTCCAAAGAGACTCTGGCCAATGCTGTGATGGGACTTGCTTTCGGCAATCAAAAAGACCAACCTGGCTAGCCGCTCGCCCAGAAACGAAGGGCTCGCATTCAAGTGGGTAGCGTATGTCCACAGCGCGGCTATGTCTGGCATCCGGGATTTGGTGTACGCTGCAAAACAGGAAGAAGCGCCGGCGGTGCAGCCGACCGCGGCCGCCAACACGAGCGTGTCTTCCAAGCCGCTGTTGATGCCTTCACCAGTGGGCGGCAGTACCGAGTGCGCGGCATCTCCGACTAGCACGACCCACTCATCCACGTCGAATTTGCTGCACTCTACCACCGCTCCACGATACGTTCGTCGGCTAAAGTACCGAACGAGTTCGTCTGGAGACAACACATCGACCATAGCAGGGGCAATAGAGTGAATCCATGCCTTTAATTTGGCAACGTTGGCTTCGGAGGCATCAGTTTCGCGAACGAGCTGGGACGAGCTGACGCCAGCGTCGTCCGAGTCGCGCATGGTGGTGACCAGCGTCCACTGCTTGGCGCCGCCGTTGTCGATTGTCGCAGTGTACCCGCCGCTGAAAATGTAATGTACACTCGGATCTAATCCAGGGGCAGGCTGACCTACACGGCCAAATAGCACGCGGTACTCGTTCGCCCATGGAGTAACGGTGACGAAGAATGTGGCGTCGGCTTGCTGCATGTACGTGCGCACCGTCGAGTGCACGCCGTCTGCACCTACGACTCGCGCGTCCGCGGCGTCCACGACAACAACCGACCCATCTGTTGTCTCAAACGTGAGCGTTTTCGCTGCAAAGTCCATCGATTGAAGCCGGTGGTTCATACGCAACGTGATGGCGTGGGGGCATTTCGTACATGCGTTCCACAAGTGCAAGTTGACGTTTCCGCGGGATGTGCCATAGACGACGCCAGAAACTTGCTTGGCCACGCGCCGAGGACCGGCGTAGATTTCCCACGCAGCGATCACGTGCCCTTCGGACCGAATGCGCTGCGCCACGTCCGGCGCCACCGACTCGATCGCATGCAGGCCTCGAGGGTTCACTCCAATGGGGTAGCTTTGGCTAGGATCAGTAGGAATGTGACCTCGGCCTTCGTAAAGCGTGACCGTGTGACCCTGATGAGCCAGCTGCAGAGCCGCCAAGCAGCCCACGGGTCCACCTCCCACCACGATGAATTTGCCCATCAACTTTTGGTTACAAGTGTCTGTGCTACTACTGTACTAACTGTAAGTTAGCCCTACAGTACAGCTGTACTATACGTACAGTAACTTTATTTACTGACTGTGACTTGTTTGTCCTGTTGGAAATTACTAATTCGACCACTTGTCTCATGCTGGGAAGTGTATTTTTCTGGAACGCCAGTGACGATCTTGAACATGAAATGCTTGGTATCGACGTTTAGAGAGATATCAACTCTTGAAGGGTATTTACATGTTTTGCTCAATTATTTGCAAAATAATTGGCGAGAATCGAAATATCGATTGCAAGGTTAACAGGTATTAATACTGTACACTCGGAGTAACTAACTACAGTACCCACTCGGTGTAGTCACGAGTTCCGGTAGTACATCCTAAATCGAAATATCGAGTGCAAAGTTAACGAACTGTTCGGACTACATACTGCCGCACCACAACTTGTTGTGACTTTGCCTTTGAGTGTTCACCGGTACTAGAGTCATCGATAACTTCCAGAGTTGTTCAACTGGTAACCAATGGTGCCACGGTATTAACAAACGCTAGTATAATTACGCTCATGCATAACGTTCGATTAAGTTAGGGTAAAGAGTTTCGCTTTAGTAGCAAAATTGCGACGGCATCGAGTGCCGCATACTGCTCTGGTCAGTACGTGATTCCGAGTCGGTGAAGATTGTGGCGTCGAAGAGCACTACTTTTGGTCGATTGGCGAGGCTTGTAGTGTGGTGTTGAGGTTTTTTCGACATGTGGACGTCATCCACCAAGTTGTCACCGTACATTTCGTATGGCAGCTTCTCTTTGTTGCTTCGAAGGTTGCTCGCAGGTCGTGGGGGATGGAGGCTATGTCGGCGGCGGCGCTCATCATGCACCAGCGAATGCCTCCGATGATGGTCTGGTTGTTGAACGTCTAGGAGAAACATGGCCGAGATGTCTGCCTTGGAAAGATGGAGCGACGGTTGGTATTGCTGGGGTCTTGTTGATGGCAGCGGCGTCGACGGCAGCGACGGTCGCTGTGCTTCAAACGACCGGAATATGTTTTTCATTTACGTCGTGGTGGTGGTCGGTGGAATCACGCAAAAGGCAAACTGCTACCTCGGGTAACTTGGCAATTGTCACTCTGTCGCACGCTGCTACACTTCGTCGTGTTACAGCGCCATTACAGCCCATCATTATGCACAGTGTGTCATTGGCTGCTTGGAGATTGTATAGTTTTTGATTGGACAACGAGTCGGGCGACGGTTGTGACACAACCAAATCACAAAGCCAGGCCTTGTAACGCGTCGCGACACATTTCCGTCGTGAATTTACTCGAGGTCGACTAGAATTCTGAATCCTCCTGAGGCTGGATCTCGACCGAGAGCCGACACGTATGTTGATATGTGCACCCCCACCCATAGGGGCTCAACTAGACAGTATGTATACGTATAGTATGTACAAGTCTAAGTAATGTTAGGGCGAAACTAACTTTATACACGTAAACGCGTGAAAAGAGTGCTATACTGTAGTACCGTTACTCCGGAGTACTACTGCACACATATACTAGTTAATATGGCATTCGGCAGCTTTACGACTGAGATATCCCAAAATATGTGAGCGTTCCCTGCAGAATGGCCACGAGCGGAGGATGCGCACGAAATCTATGCTCGACTGCTTATAAACTGTAGCTAAACTTATACCGGTATCCCGTTTAATTGCGACACACATTGGTACATTTGTAACGAACGACACGAGGACTGGCTGTATCAAGGCGATATGGGTGAATATGATCACTTTGCGGACAACGTTCGGACAATTTCAGTCGGGCATACTTGACATTTGTATTTGAGTTAAGGGAACATATTTTGTCCGGATGAAATTGTCCGAACGGAATATGTTCGGACATACACTTGTGTATTATGTACACACCCGCATACGATCAGCTGTACGTATGAGCAGTACAGTTATGATTGGTAGAAAACAATCTCTCTGAAATTTTCAACCAATCACCTGCAATTTCTGACGTGTAACTCGATAAAATCAATTGGTTCGGAACTGTATTCAGCCTATGGATATTTCCACTCACTTATTGTTAATTCATTTTCCATCAACACTAATACGAATTTCGACATTATTTTAAGTCCTACGAACTGCATTAATTCTCCTCTTTAAGAAACACTATTATAATAGCAATTTGGAGCAAAGGAACCCCTCCATCGAAGGGCGTGGTTACGTGACACTTTTTGGGACCCTTCGATCGTCCCAAAAAATGTCACGTAACCATGCCCATACGTATATAAAGTCTCCAGCCAAGGTCGGCACCGTCTTGGTTGGAACTTTCTTACCATGTCGCCACTCGAACGCGCCGAGATATGGTAAGCCGTCTTTCGATGAAGGCAACGATGATCCTACACTAATTGTGTGGATTAATGGTATTATATAGTGTGCTCTACTGAATTCTTGTGGTTCGTTTAATGAACCACCAAACAATTGCTGGGCCTGCGAAAGCTCATATAAAACAAAGTTTGCAGAGGTACCTTTGTTCAAAATTCATTCATTTTAGCCAATAGCAGTGCACCATTCTTATTTTTTTAGCCAATCATACCGGTACTGTTTTCATTATTGACATGTTGGCGATTTAGGCGATTCAACAATCCCCCCAAATTGGCAAATGTTGGAATTTTTGTTGGAGTACTAAGTCAACTGACCAATCATATTCACCTTGCTCTTAGCTGATAACGTTATTAGCACCACTTTTAATATTTTTGTAGTATACTAACAGTGCTGTAGACTGTACTATTAATAGTATTAGGAATTTGGAAAGGGAGTCGATATTTTCGACGAATGGAAATACCGGTTCTGCAACATCGACCAATAGAATATCGCTGTTCAGCGTAACGTATAAGTCCATTTGTCACGTCGTGGACATGCCGTCAGATGCGAGCCGTTCGCACCGCAAGCTTAACTTGCAGAGGGTGCTACGGTAGAAGGAGAAGCAGGAGGTCGGCCACCTGCGACGGCTCGTGTGTCAGCTTGAAGAGGAACGACAGGTGTGGTGGGTGACGCACCATCGTCCGTCGTCGTCGTCGCCCAGGCGCTGCCACGGCACGACATCGCCATCGCTCTCGATGAAGACAAGTCGTTGGTGATGCAGGAAAACAGGCACATGAGGCGACAACGGCATATTGATTACAGGGATGGCGTAGTGGATCGCCACTGCCAAGGGCTTCTCGGTACAGTGTCGTTGATGCGATCCGGTGGTACTGTATTTTGTGTGTTGACCCTACTGTGACAGCGTGGCCCGAACGTGGCACATCCAGCATTCAAACGCTTAAGCCGTGTGACACTGTCAGCTACCAACGACGCGTGCCGTCAACACGGAATGGTCTGGCTCACTCAACTGCTGTACCGCAACATCGACTACATACTTCAAAAGTACACGCTCTCTACAGAGACATTGAACCAAGTGGTCAGTCGGGAGTTGGTGGATGTGTCGACCATCAACGACGCACTTGATGTATGGCATCTCCAAGTGGGCATTCCTGCGTATCTGGACATTGTCGCACCGGTGGTTCGACGGCATGTCCTAGGCAGGTTCAATTCTGTCGACATGAGCCATGCCCAAGTGTTTTCGATTGAACCAGAGGTACTGTGTTGTGGTCCAAATGTGCTTTTTGGTTGTTGAAATCAACCAAAACAGAATGATTGGCTCAAGAGAATGACGATTGCGTTTTGATTGGCGAAAAAGAATGCGGGTTTCTCCCAATTACTTCTTAAATTGAGTATTTTACCTCTTATTTCGCAGGTCATGCAATTGCACTCGTGTTGGAAATGAGAAGTTCCTACATGTTACAATTCCTGGCTTGTGATATCATGTGATTCTGTTCTTTCTACACTATGTTATTGTGTTTTCTACTCAAAATTTCCTTCGGTGGTTGATTCAATCAACCACCGAACAATCGCCAGACCTTCGAAATTTCATATAAAACTAAGTTGAAGAGGTATCTTTGTGACTGCAATACAACAATCAATCTTTTTAGCCAATCAAATCGCAACCTTCGTTCTTTGTAGCCAATCATACTCCTTTTCTCGATTAGTTGGCATCAATACCCCAAAATAGGCAAATTTCACTGAAAAGCACAATACTGGATATTACTTTCTATACTGTAACGTTAGTGGAAATCGTTAAGGGCTTTTTGGGATGCCACAAGTGATATTCTGTTTCTCCAAGCTCCCAAAGTCATGTACGGGTATAATATTTTACACCATAAGTTTGTCGTGAAATATCTGGATGCCTCCAATTTTTCCTGAAAATTCCAAGACTATCAAAAATGTAGAGCCAGGACATGTGTCCGAATAATAAGTGCCAAATCGGCATCTTTTTTTCTGTCATACTTTGGGAAATATCATTCGAAATATACTGGAGGGTACCTCCATCAACATTTTGTACATCGAATTCACAGAGGTCGACCGCACGATCATTGTTGGCCAAACAATTTTGGACGACAAATGCGAATGCCTGCTTATTCACACCAAATCCACAACCTGGTACGTATTGTGCATGCATTTCCCCCACGTTTATTTTTAACTTGGGAGACCGACCTTTCGCCAAAAGATTAGCATTTGAACGCATTTGATTGAATTTAACAAGCTTGTACAACTATACACGATACAACAATTAGTATATATAGCATCTGGTTTTGCCCAATGTGGAGGGACTGAATGAACTATATATATCAAACGTTTGTATTGGCAGAAACTCGCCTGATTGGCTTAGGCAATTCTTGAATCCATTCGCTGAAGACATTCGATTCTGCAGAAGGAGGGGCTCCAGTTTCGAATCGATTTGCCAATATTATTGTCCTTTTACCCAAAATTTGGACTTTTGTGCTGAATCGCTAAATCCATCATCGATCGATTCTTTGTGCTTCGTACTGAGTTTTGTATGTGAAAATGCGTCCTGTGGTGAACTAATTGATACGATGGTCTCGTGCAATCTGATTGGCTAAATCCTTCTGTCCATATGGTTGTGTCGATCGTTCCTGTTTAGAATAACTAACACTAAACACAACAATATCAAAAAGTTGTTGAAATCTGGGTCTGTTTGTTGAAAACTATCTTGCAATATTCTAGGCTTGTGGGTACAAAGCTGGGGTTCACTGCCGCCCGCGTAGAATTAATTGAATTTTCAATTTGTTTTTCTTTGTTATAATTTTTATATTTTGTGGTATTTTTATTTTTTCATGATTATTAAAAATATTTAAATACGCTGTTGAGTGTACACTGCAGACAGTAGATACTAGTCTACATACTGTTAGTACTAACCAATCCATCACGGATACTATTAATAGTGTCTGTTCAGGAATCGAATGGACAGAGTGCCAAGGGGCAATATCAAATATAATCAAACGTGCGAAGGTCGTGATACTGTTCATAGTTATTAAGCAGAAATCAAGCGGTAGGATGCTTCGAAGGCCAACCCCAACGACACGAGAAAGCCCAAGTACCCTAGTGTTTCCACAACCCCAATCAATACTGTACTACACTCTTCAATATATGTACTACTAAAAAGAGAACTATTAATGTGCTGAACTTACCAAAGGCGCCGTACTGACGCTTCGCAGGGTCGCCAGTGGAGTATCCAATCACGTACACCACGAACCCCACGACACGCACAAGGCCAGCGATGGCAGCCCATGCTGGGCGGTACGCGCTAGGTTACATTGATTAGTTCGTCGAGTACAAAGCCAATCGGTTAACAGTAATCGGTGATTAGTTAGTCGAGTACAAAGCCAATCGGTTAACGGTCGTCGATACATACGAGGATACGAAAAGCAGGGCCAGAAACACTGGAAGGTTTTCCAATACGTTTTGGTGCGCGCGTTGGACGCAGTTGAACTCGACAAAGTTTTTGTCGCCCTTTTCCGCATACATCTAGGCACACAACAGCGCTTTGCTTTGAATCGAAATTGGGACGAGCGGAGTATGTATGGTACATGTGTACTGTACCTGCGGGTACTTGATGTTGTAGCGCTTGCGTGCGGCGCCAACTTTAAAGCCAGCCCAAAAGTTGACAAAGACCACGAGCACGACCACGAGGATGATGTAGCCGTGTTCGCGCTGGAAGGTCGGGGCAATCAAAGGCGCCATGTTATGGACAGTTTGGAAGTGACCACCACACAAAAGGCCAAATTACAGTAATCGAACGTGAGCTCAAGTTTAGTCGGATTACGAGGCGTCGTAATCGACGTGGTCGTTTTTTTAATATGACCATGATACGCGGACATTGTATACGAAATTGAAATTAGATTTAAACGTCCCCAGGATATCCATGGACCAATTGAAATCGACCATGATCAACAGAATACTGTACAGTAATAATAATGTTGGTTGATTTGTGGGAGAGTACCGTACTGGTACTAGTAGTACTAGTACTGTGTGTAGTAGTACTGTGTAGATGACGACTTGTAGCACAGAAACACCCCATGCTACGAAGCATAGTTGGTGATTGACTGTACACATTGTACTCCCAGTTGGGGTGGGGGGAGTTCAAATTGTCATAGTTCCGAATATACCATCCGGATCCACGTGGCCGTATGCGAAGTCGGCAACAAGTTTCGAAACTACGAGCAGCGGCCATCGACGCCCCCTCGTGCTAGGGAACCGACAAGGGCCCAACGCGCCTTTGCTCTGGACTACCCCGGTTTTTGTACCAGCCCAGAAATGGCTGGTCCATCTTACAGCTTTAGCTGTAGCATTAGATTGGCATAACGCTCGCTACCAATTGGCTTTCAATTTGCTAGTTGCCGTGCTGCTTTCCTCTGCGCTCTGACACGCGTTACACAAATACTACGAAGTACTACATCTCTGGAGTAGGTACAGTACTAGTATGTACTACTAATAGTACTACCGATAGTAGTATGGACCGTCATTCCGCTCGTTCCACCGCGATGACGAATGCTCAAGCCCAACGTGATCAATTCGATCACTTCGATCCCCCCCACAACTTCACTAGCCCCCTCGTTTTAACCATTATCGTTCGTCATGCACTTTTGAATTTGCACTCTTGACCGACCAACGCATTGCTACTTAGTATGGTATTTGTGGCCCCTACCCTCCAACCCGAACACGGCTACATCATTCTCGTGGTGGTGCTGGTGGCCTTTGTGAATCTGTGGGCGGGCTTCAAAGTTGGGGCTGCCCGCCGTCTCTATGGTATTGCGTACCCCCAGGTAAACCATCTCCATTGCCATATATTAACGCTATCTGAAACCCGTTGGACACGTGCAAACAGCAATACGATGATGTCCAATTGATCGACTACTGTATACTGATGATGGACATTAGATGTACGCCGAAACCAAGGACGAGCACTTTTTAGCGTTCAACTGCGTCCAACGCGCTCACCAAAACGTGCTGGAGAACCTCCCCACTTTCTTATCCCTCCTCTTCGTGTCGTCGTAAGATCTCAAAATCGACACGTAACTTCGTATATATTGATGTAAACATCCACGGTTAGAGTGTACCGACCGCTGTGGGCTGCCATCGCTGGCCTCGTTCGCGTCATTGGGTTCATTGTGTACATCCACTTTTACTCGTCTGGCGACCCCGCCAAGCGCCAATACGGTGCTTTCGGCTACATCGGATTGCTTACCCTGGTGGGACTGTGCTTTGAAGCTGCGTTCCGCCTCATCACCGAATAAACGTAATAGTGACTTGGTTCATTGGGAGGTCTCTGGTTTGTGGCTTACGATAAGCTACTGGTAAGATCAAATCAATTAGCCGTCCATGTTTTTCCATCATGTAGTAAATCCAAAGTATTTATTCCTATTAATATAATAGTATACGTATATATTGTCAAGTCGGATTTAAAATTTGAGTGCTCAATCCAATGAGTAACGTTAGCACCAAATCGGCAGACAATCGATCGACCAATCAAAACCCTGAACACGAAGCAACTGGCCAATTAAGTCCTCTCTTCGAGCAATTAACATCGAATTAGTGTATGGATACAATTAGTGTGATGTCGTACAACTCATAATTCACAGTCAATTCAAACAATCGATCGATAGATTTGGCGAATCAGCACAAAAGTCCAAATTTTGGATAAAAGGACAATACAGTTATTGTGCTTTCGAGTGAAATTTCGTGTTGTGGTTTCTCGTTGGAATTTAAATCGATTTGATTGGCTACCTCAGATGAGCTCAAAATTATTAGCCAATCCAAAACCTTCTCAACGAAATTCAACCAATCAGATCGATTGTGGATCGGTTTGGTCGGCGCGATTCGATTGCACCACCTCCCCAAATTTGTATCAAATCAACAATATTGTAGTAACATTAATGGCACGCCGCAGTGAAAACTCTGAAGCACAAATCGACGCTATTGGCTAATCCAATTTATAGTAGATCTGATTGGTTATTTTTATAGAATGGACAACTGTATTCAGCCAATCAGAAGTACCAGTATTGTTCCATATTTTCGGAGTTTATAGCGAACTCACAATACAATTTCGTGTTATTTTCGTGATTTCCAAGAGAAATACACTAAATTATGTCAACGAGGTACGATTCAAATAGTGTGATAACCCTGTTCGATATTTTCTGCACAATTGCAAGCGCACGTCAACTCTCGACCGCAATGGCAGCCGCCGCCCCTCCAACTCTCGACAAGGCATCGTCGTACGATGACTTGTACGCGTCCGAGGCGGTGTCCAAGGGTGTGCTGCAGTACGTCAACATGGGCTTACATCCCGTGGACAATGTATCCCTTGGGAACCCCAAGACACATGACTTGGTTCAGCCGCAACAACAACAACTCTACCTGGCATTGCTCACTCTGCCTCGTGTACAGCAACTTGTGGAGCGTGCGGCATCTGAACAGCGCTCGTTGCACGTGTTGGACGTCGGATGTGGCACCGGGGCGAGTCTCCAATTGATTCAGACTGTCCTTCGCGCCTTTTCTCCGTCCGTGCCGATCGTCGTGGTGGGTATCGACAAGAGCCACGTCGCCGTCAAGCAGCACAAGCGACTCTTCTACGGAAAGCACGACAAGAACCATCGTGGGGTCCTGCATTATGACATCGAGCATCAACGGATGTCGGCGTTCTCGCGGCACCGCTTTGACATCGTCCTCGGCGTCCAAAGCTTCCACGAGATGAAGGCCAATCCCGACGCCGCGATTGCCGAAGTCGCGCGGGTGCTGAAACCACAAGGGGTGCTCCTCGCGGCGGACTTTTACTCGAAAAATCAACCTTTTATGACGGATTTCCTCGGCAAACTTCGCCACCACCCATCATTCGACTTGCATTTCGCCCAAGATGTGTCGCACTCGGCAACAATCGCTGCGAAACTGACTTCGATCAAGTTCGTACCTCCACGAAATTGCTAGGCAACGACTTTAGCAATTTTATATGTATAACGTTTATGAGGTCCATATTTATCCCACTTGATAAGTTTTATAAGACTTTGTGAATTTATTGTTTTATTCAAACTAACAATACAACGACCTATTAGAATGTCTTGGCTTCGTCGTACTATGACATTGGACGTATCCGTTTATTACATACTAACGATATATACTTGACAAAATGTCTTATTTCGACAATACACGTACATATATATATATATATATATATATATTTGACAAAATTTCTTATTTCGACGATATATATATATATATATATATATATATATTTGACAAATTTTCTTATTTCGACATTATATATATATTTATATGATGTTCTTTGTACTACTATATCATAGAATCGTGGAAGCATTGACTCAAGACGAGATCGTCCAGTTTGCGTCGTTGCTGACATTGAAAAAGTCCCCACAATATGAAGCTGTGCGGTTGGGCAGTGTGCAGTTTGGGCTGGTGGGGTACCACTCGGTGGTGGAAATTGAAGATGACGTTATCCTACACGATCACGTCATTGATGACGTGATCAATGACCAAGCAAGCGACGACGACATTGACGACATTGACGACAGCATGAACCCCAGTTATTACGACTATACGTACGTCCAACCGTGATCCCACCAAAAAAACACACAATAACCAACCCAATCAGCAATATATGTATATATATATAAATATATTGTTACGATGTTGAAAATTTCTTTCGTTTGATTTGGACGACTTGGGTATTTCCACGTTTTGCGATGTATATATTATATATAAATATTGGTATGAATGTCCGGATCCTGTTCAATCACACCAGGCCTCAATCATCTCTCCCATTGGTCAATCTGAAACTACTTGT